AATCAGAATGAGGAATATTTTTTCACAATTTATTTCTTAAAGGGAAAATGGTCATAGGCTTTTCCCTTTTATGTTTCTCTGCATTTTAAAATAGTTTACAATAAATATGTATTGTTCTTATAGGCAGAAAAAATAAATAGTTGTTATATTAAAAATAGAATAAAATGCTATCTTTGGGGGGGGATTATCGAAATGTAAATACCACTTCAATATCAGCTGGGAGTAAATAGTAATAAAGTTGTTTTCCTCTCCCCCGCTACACAGATACACATTTTCTCTTGCTTATGAGTCTTGGGTTACCCTTTCATGAAATGAAGAATACATTGTACATAAATGTAAAACATTGAGTGCCAGAGACACTCCATACATCTTGGTTCTTTCCCCTTCACTGAGCTGCCAGAGGGCGATGCCTTTGATTCCACACTTCAGACTCTTAAAATCCGTGTGATAACTCAGGTGTTAAGGTGTATCCAGAGACTCTACCAATGCAGATCCAAGACAGGGGACAGCTCTGTCCCACCATGGTGAGAACCCTTAGTCGGGGGCTGACAGACACCAAGAATAGAAAAAAAGCCTGAAAAAAATTAGACTGCAGAAGCCCAAGAGGAATTTCATGGGTGGTACAATGTTTTCTTTCCCTGCAATGATTTAGACAGGAGGAGTGACATGGCCAGAAGGATTGGGAACCAACCTCATCTGGCCAGGCTTCCAGGGACTGCTGGCCGGGGACATGTATGCCCATCTCTGGCACATACCCGAATCTGCTTCCTCATACATAATTTCATCCTTTTATCTTTTGTTCTCCTTGCAGGGCTGACTCCTGTTCGAGCATTACTCTCATTTTACAGAAATTGTGACCTTGAGGGTGTCTGCCACCAGATTAAGGGTTAAGAAATCCTTCCCCAGGTGATATCGCGCTTCATAAACACCCAAACATCCATGATGGGACTTACAGGGCTCCAAAAGAACACAAGCTCGGGCGTGCATGCACCTGAGTATTAATTGATTTTTCTTTTAATATTAATGAGCATATGATTTGGTCTAGTTGACCTTCAAATTCAAATTAGGTACTGATTAAATAATAAGACAGGAGGACTGGGATGTGTTGAAACAGCACTTTTTTCTTCCCCCTCCGGGAAAGTACCTTGGCCTTGGCCGTGAGTAAGGATGAGCTATTAAGAGGGTTGAGACAACTAGAACAGAGAGTTCTCCTTGAATTAAGAATAACTATATCTTAAATAATAGTGATAATAATAATAACAATGAAAATAAAAACTTTGCAGCAGTTTCAACCAGAGCACTTGATATCCCTGGCATAAAGTTTACTCCTGTGTTTATCCTCCCCTTCATCGGAATGCCTCCTCATTTGCTGGTTTCCAACCTTAACATTTGTAATCTCAGGTTTGTTTTTAAGGATTTAAAGTACAAGCCACCATTAAATAAACAGAATATTTTTACCAGTAGAGAAAGAACTCCCTCGAGAGAGAAGCCCATGTCTGTTTTTAACTAACTTAAGAACTCCTCTGAACCTACAGATATTTCCTCAGGCCAGTTTTACCTTGGAGTGCATTTCAGTGCAGTCCTGGCTTGCTGCATCCCTGGCATCCCCCCACCCTGTGGATGAATTATTCATCAACATTCCTCCTCCTCGCATTTCAGCCTCCCAACTCAACTCCTGCCCACCCAAGGTCTGTAATGAGTCATTGGGAACAGGTGCCTTCAAGTCTGTAGCGCACAATCTAGCTCTTGATCCAACAGCCAATCAGTTGTACCTCCTTCTGTTAGCAGCGTGCATTGTTCCCAGTTATGTGGGGTAAATGGGCAATGAGCATCCATTCTCGGTACCCAGTGGGAAATATGTCTAGAACATTTGAACGAAATCGCTGGCACGGAAGACACCCCAGAAGACACTTTCTCTTGAAATTCCACTTTCACGTACCTATTTTAATTTTTTAAAAGTCTCATATCCCAAACCACGTGACATTAGCCAGCTCACTTTTTGTTGGCTTGTTCTCAGTCCTCGCAGTTTAGAAGACACTAATTTCCTGGGCGAAACAAAGTTACAAATGTAAATCCAGCCAATCAACAAGCAAAGTGAGGAATAACTGGTGAGTCTCCAAATTTGGGGGGAATTATTTTGGAGGGAGAGAGAGAGAGAAGGAGAGTGAAGGTCAGTCCATAATATCAGCAATTCTAAAACCCAAGAAGATGCTGGGTCAAGATCTAAGTCTGGAAGCAAAAGCAAGAAAGCAAGGGCTCCTTCAGGTCCTTTGGTCAGCAAAAATATTCTGCCATTTAAACTGGAGACCGTAACAAGCATTTTTTATAAGCGATCTTAAAACTGCAGAGCTCACAAATAGCCCAAGTGTCACCAAGGAAGAGCTATATTTCTGCATAAAAGCTAATAATGGCGAATGCTTGAAATGAATCTTCAACACATGTGACTGCCTTCTAATCTCAACTTGATCTCAGTCTTGGGAGGATTTCAATGGCAAATTCATTTCTTTTTTGTTCCAAGCTATGTATATGTCAGTCAAGATGCCAGTTCTACATGCATTAGACACTTGGTCTGAGTTTTGTACTGACTAATAATCAATCAAAAAAACAGTGTTCTCGTGTATATGCTATTTCAGAAGGAAGAGGCAAAAATCCTATTTTCTGTGTTCTATTTTTAATTGCAACTGGACTACATGTTAATGTGGATTTGAAAACATGTTTCCCCAAGATCAAAAGGTTAACGGATATTAACAGTTTATTTCAGTAAAATCCCTAAAACTTCACATTTAATCTTCCTAGGGAATTGCATTTGTGATATGTGACAGAACTTGTTGGAGTCACCACCACTAAAAGTTTCATGTTAAAAAAAAATACTAAAAGTATTCTGAGAAATTGATCCTGGCATGAGCAATTAATGGTGTGAGATCCTAAAAGCATCAAGAAATATCACAAACAGTGTTTCTATAAAGGTGTAATATCTCCAAACCAAACAGCTCAACAGGAAAAAATCTCAGCTTGAAGTACTTAAAGTAGACGATCTCTTGTTTCCTAAACTATGCCATTTAACTTCATGACATTAAAATTTTTTTATCACAAGCTAAATGACTAGAATATCCAAAATTATTTGCCACTTTCTGTCTTCCCAGTGTGACTGAGTCAGGTTTATTTCTCTCTCTAAGATGACCCGGGGTTTCTTATCAGAACCTATGTGGATATCTATGTTATTACATTTTTAGATATAAAAAATGGCTTTAGAACCAGAGATGTAAGAACACATATCTGAGTAATATGAAGGGGAGAATTAAGGGATTCATTTAAAAAGTGGCAATGATCAAAAAAAGAACCACCGAAAATGACAATGTGGTATACGCTCGTTGGGCAACACAGTTCCCCCTTCAGGAATGAAGAATTTATTCTCCTAGGTGCAGGCAGCCCTCATTCATCTCAGGTAATCAAGATTACCTCAATGGAAAACCTCTGCCTCATGTAAGGCCACGCCCCCTTCCCAAGGTAACCAATATCGGGTGACTTATCAATGGAAGGTCTTACAGACCTGACTCTTTCACTCCAGATGAGACATCTCAGAAGGGTCATGTTATCCTCAGACTAGCTGTGGCTTCTGTTGATAATGCCTTTCAGCTCAACTTCCCTCTCTACCCAGGTCTGCTTTGACCCTTTCTCTTTCATAGGTGTTGATTCCAAGAGCTCTCCCTAATAAATGTTTGTTTCCTAACCTCCATCACAGAGTCTGTCTTTGGAGAGTCCAATCTGTACACATGCCTGGTGAAAAGTTTGAGCAATTGACAAGTATATGGTATTTTTTCAAGGTAGATACTGTTGTTGTTTTCACTCCACAGAGGAGAAAACGAAAGCATAAAGAGGTTAATTACTTGTCATTACTTGTTAATTCCTTTAGTTACTTGTCAAAGGTTACATCGATTTTGAGCGGCAGAGACAGGATTTAAGCTTCAACCATCTAGCCCCAGAGTTCACAATGTTAGCAACTACTCTCATGACACAGGACACCTCATTTAGGAAAACCCATATACCAGACAACATAAAATGAAAGGAATTATGCAAACAACTGAGTATTAAAATTGTAAAATGACTCTGATTTTCTAAATAGTGGTTCCAGGAATAGCCAAGTATCAATGTCAAGTATAGATCTACTTTCATATCACTCCAAACTAAAACAAATGCATCCAGCATATTTATCTAAAAGTTCCAAGGAGATTACATGGGTTTACCAGATGCCCATTTGTATAAATACAACAATCTAGTCTATAGAGGGGTTTTTAATAGCTACCAATGACAGATATAAAATAATATTACCTTTTTGTTTGGGGACAGTTAATCAGGGTGAGAGAAAATAAAGGGCTATTACATTTTCTTTCAGATAATTTTTTCAACTTTATCATCTGCACATGAATGTCTCCACTATTTCTCCCTGAAATTTATTCCTAGAGTCTAAATGTGATTTTCCTTTACTTTTTTCTTCTCCTTGGGGATACCTGGGTGTGCAAAATTTTCTCATAGTAACTGTTCATAGAATGAGGGATGATCCTCCCACCAAAGATTTATTTCTATAGAATCCTTTCAACAAATTTTCTCTCTTATCATGTCTGGATAATGGAGTCCCCAGTAGGTAGTTTCCAAATGCCGCTCCTTTGTACTTATTCCTAATGAGTAGCTGTAAATAGCAGATCTGCCTAATTCTGGTGTTTCAAATAGGCAATCTTCCTTGAACATAATTTCTTTGATTATTTTTCCTACTTAATAAAGAGTTACTTTTCAGAGGAACAAATGTAAATGTATATATAAATTCTGAAAGGGCAGATACAGAATAAAACAGAGTGGCCAGGATATTTGATTGTGTTGGAAATAAAGGAGGTGCTTGAAGAGAATTAGATAGATTTGCTCACTGCTTCACTTCCTCACAAAAACAAAATCCAAATGGTCTTCCATGAGTTTGTGAGTTTTAGATGTAGTAAGGGGTCTCATACCTTCATCTTTACACACATCAGCAGCATCTTCTGAAGCAGGGCTGGGCCCAGTTGCAGCATTGACGCCATCTGTACAGCAGAAAGAGAAACATGGCCTCAGAGTCAATATTGTCAAGATGGAGTTTCCCTGCCTGTGGCATGCCCATCTCCACTCCACCAAGGAAGTATGAACCTGTTTAATGCTCTAATACACTGAGTGCCCTTCGAAGGGTCTAGGACTTGTGACTCTCTTTTATAACAATGGACAGGAATCTTCCATTAAACCAGAGCCCAATGACAACAAACTATTTTTTGGTGAAGAATACTCTTCATTGGTCTTATTACGCTTTGGCATTTGCTTTTTCCCCACCTCTAGAAGAATGGTACATTTCTTTTAGTGAAAGATTGTGAAAGCATATTCTTGCAAGTCTCCACAAAGCGCTTTTATGTGTGTGTGTTTAAAGTTTGGTTTTTCTTAGCACAGTATTTCTGCTCTGTTATGTCAGGCTGTCAAACTGCAAGGAGCGTGGCTGATGGCTGTCAGTGCAGAGGCCCAAGAGAAGGGGATCATTTGCAGAAAAGCACCAAAAGCCATTTGGAGATTTCACATCACCCAAGCATACAGTGGGGGCTAAGGAACTTGGAGGTCCTTGTCCCCCTCACAATGGTAATGAACCTCATCAGAGTTGATCTTTCCCCTCAATATCATAAGTATATGACATGGTGACTCCACTCGTATCTAGCTTCTAGGATAATAGATAATTAATTTACTAACATTAAAATAGTAAATTTATATATGGATTTTCAAAGTCATTTGGAATGGTTAATATTTCACAATTGAAGAAGGAATTGAAAAGAAATATACATTCTTCATGTAGTAACAAGGTTATGGAACTCAGGAGAATTCACACACCCATGATAATTAATATTTGAAGACAAATTGCATTTTTCTAGCATCTCTTTCCTTCTTAATGCATAGGACTATAACTTGCAGGTCATGTCTCTATTGGAAGAGAGAATAAAAATTTTAGTAGAGGAATAATTGGAGAGGATAAATCTCTTTTGGTAGGTGACAATCGCCTATAAAAAGAAAAAAACAGACAAAAAACTATTAACTTTCCCTTGGCGTTACATCTTCCCATTTGCCCTTCCTTTCACAGCACAACTCCTTAAAAGAGCCGTCTGTGTTATTGTTCTGTACTTTCTCACTTCATAGTCTCCCCATAACCCACTCCATTGGCTCCAGTACCCCTCTGAGAATTTTCTGAGAAAAGATGCCAATGACTTCCATTTGTGAATTCCAGTGATCATTTCTCTTTCTCACCTTACTTAATTTCTCAGTAGAATTTCACAGAGTCTTAACTCTTCTTTGTGAAACACTTTTTTTCTCTATTCTGTTGCCACCTATCTGGAAGTCTTGGTGTCCCAAGCCCACTGTTTTCTTTATTTACATGCTCTTTCTAGTGAATCTCACCCAGAACCATGGTTTTATCTTATTTAAAAATTTTTTTTTTCAGAACCATGATTTTAAATCTCATTTATATGCCACGTGAATCTCAAATCTGTATCTCAGTCAACATCTCTCTAGAATCATCATCTAATCTATCTAACTAGCTAGCTTCTTGACATCCCATATGGCTAAGTATCCTCTCATGTTTACTCTGGAAAAAGCCTGAACTACTAACTTTCTCAACAAAAACTATGCCTCACGGCCCGTCTTCCTAATATTAGCAAGTGGCACCATCATCCACAAAGTTCCTGATGCTAAAAATCTGAGAATTATCCTGGATTCCTCTTTCCCCCTTACCCCTCATCTGACTCCATCAACACATCCTCTTATCTTTATGTCTGGAATATGACACATCAGTCCATTTTGTCTCTGTTTCCAGAAACTGCCATCATGTCTTCCTGCTATAGCCTTCTAACTGGTCTCTGTTTTTGGTGACCCACTTTTACTCACAGGCAAAGTGAGCTTGTTAAAACTTCAAAACTTCCACTGGCTTCTTTGTAGTTCTAATAAAATCAAATCTTCAATAGTCAGACATTATCTGTTCCTATGATTTTTTTTTTTTTTAACCAAATCTTACACCATGTTCCCCCTAACACACCATGCTCCAGCGACTCCAACCTTCTTTCTCCAACATGCTAAAATTGGTCTTGAGGCATTTGCATCGTCTGGTCCCTCCATCTAGAATGCTCTTCCACCAATGAGGAGATCCTCATTGAGATTTTATTTAATATCTCTTCTTCAGGGAGTCCTTCCCAAATCCAGCTGATGGAAAGTTGCCTTCCCAGTGTTTCTTCTACCTACTCCATTTCTCCACAAGGCTTTTATCACCATCTTGTGTGTTTTTGTTTATTGTTTATTTCTGAGGTTCATCCCCCCTCCCACCACCAACCCCACCATAATATAAGCTTCAAGGAGGCAGGGATATTGTATTTATGGTTTGTCGTTGTATCCCAGTGCCCAGAACAGCACCTGAGTCACATAGACCTTTGATATATATTCATTAAATGACTATTTGAAACTAATAATGTACTATATGCTGGCTAATTGAACATAATAATAATAATACGACTATTTGAGGAATATTATCTACAACTTCAATTTGGATTGTGACAGCAGTCAAACTGTGCAGGTTTGAGATTGTGTTTTTCATGTTGTGGAAGAGGCCCACAGTTTCATAATCAAAATTGAAATTGGAAATCATATTAATTGTAAAGGAGGTATTATCATTTTTGTTATTTTGGAAGAAGAGCAATAGGTCAGAAGGGCTTTATTGACCAGGACCTCATCTTTGATTTTTTTGCACTTGGATTAGGAAGGCTAGGAAATGAGCCAGAGCAGACATAACCATGTATACTGACAACAGCTAAGATCAGAGATGAATTCTGCCATGATTGGGGCCAACCAGCAGGCTCACTTGGAAGACCAGAGGAGGCCCTCAGGGGTGCCATTTGAACTATTCTTTACCTTGAGACGTAAACATACTGTGATGAAAATGCTATCGATCCAAGGGGTAGAGAAGAAGACCAAAGCCCCACCACTCTCTGCTGACAGGTGATCCCAAATCCAAAAAGAAACTGCCTGTTCTCAACAGACAAGCTAAAAAGGGATGAATAAACAAACCACAGGCAAATGTGTGTGTGTGTGTGTGTGTGTGTGTGTGTGTGTGTGTGTGTGTGTATGTGAACAAGGGTGGGGAAAATCTATGCTGATAAAGATAGCTGGGGACAGAACAGTGAGTGAATAAAACCTGTGAAATCTCACCAGTCAGAGAATGGCCTCAGCTGTCAGCAGTTAGTTGACTAATACTTGTCAGCAGCCAGCAGTGAAAACAGTGACAGCTTCTCACACAAAACTCATCTTCCACGGCGCATAATGATGTGTGGGTCGGGAGCTGGGGTGGGGAGTGGTGGATATCAACAGTCTGCCGGATCAGAAATTCAATTCATTGCAAGGACTATGTTTCGGCCAAGGGAGCCGGCTGACCCAGCGGCAGCTACACAAGGTCCTTGCTGCTTTGCTTCAGTGCTTTCTCTGATTGGCCTTCTTCAATTCCATCTTCCAGGTTAATAATAAAAGATTCCAGTTCTCTAGAAAAACTTCCAAGGTTAATGTAGGAAGTTTTCAGTGAAAAACTTATCATGCTACCTGGTTGATTTCCAAGAAATGAGCATATGGCCTGGGATGTGCCTGGCACACATCAGATGGTGCTCACTCTTTCAAAAATGCCCCCCCTCCATGGGGCTCAGGGGGACTTGGAGACTAAAGGAAAGATGGGTATTTTGATTTGGGTGGTGTTGTTAATAGCATAACCATGTCTATCGGTCTTTTAAACGAGAGCGTACTGAGGACCGAGATGGGTAAAAAGAGACAAGAAGCTAAAGGTGGTGACCACCTCTTCTGTCTTAAGTGCTACTTCACTTAAAGATATTCCATTCAGAATCTACAGTAGAGAATCTATAAACATCCAATGGACACATCTGTTCTTAGGGAAGAGGAGATGTCAGGAAGGCTTTGGATCTCATGCTAGGTCTGGTTGTGAGGTAATCGGGCTCCATGACACTGTGTCCTACCACCCCTAAAGAAACAACCAGAAACACGGCTCTTCAAAGTATAATGCAAAGCAGTAAAGAACATTCTACTCCTCATGGAGGGAAAGCCTCTTATTTCTTTCCTTTGAACATTTTGTATTTTATTTTTTCTCCCCAAACTAAATCTGCTAATTTTGAGGTAGCCAAGTTCTGAGGTAACACTGCTCTTGCTCCAAACTTTGCCTGTTGCTCTTAGAGCATTTCTAAGCGAAGTGTTGTTACACAGAAGAAGAATGGACTTAGTGAATGGGGAATGAGAATGCACCCTTCTGACTGGAAGTGCTGTCACCTATAGTCAGTGGAATTGGTGGCTTCTTGAGGGAGACCTATACGAACATGGCAATCAACCTGGTGAAAAGGTATAAGCATGTCTAGAAAACAACATCTGAGTGAAGTTACTGTTCATCTCTGTGGATAAGGCCTAGGAGAATCCTCAAAAAAAAAAAAAAAAAAAAATCTGAGCCCACCTGCTTCTTGGTTCTGCTCTTCCGTTTCTTCTGTATTTTGTTTTTCCTCTGGACCGTTCTCATCTTGCAAGAAAATCACAGAGGGGGAAGAAAAAAAATACATCAAGTCAATTTATGAAATATCTCTTTATGGTTAATAGGCAGCACTGAAATTAATTGTAACTAATGTAGCCTGACTCCCAAAGCAAGGCAGAGAGATGAATCAGAGGCCTGAAACAGAAAAATTACCTACATAAATAGGTACATTTATACTTGTCCCTTCTCACCTGATTTGCTTGACGAAATGTTCTACTATAGTAAAGCAAATTTACTCAGCACTCCTACAACAGTTCTCGCCTTGGACAGCATTTCCCAAAATGCAGTACTGATCTTAATTCGAATCTGCGTTTCTCCCTTGATGGAAGCGATATACACCGTGTAAGGAAATTTGCTTGATTAAGTTTCTATGACTCCTTTTCCTGTTTGATATATGTTGCAAAAATATCTATTTTTAGCTAATGTACACATGACAGTCTAACACATCTATGCTATGAGATACTTTGTCTTGAACAGACTACATTGGTCAAGGGTACACCATAGTACATAACTCCTTGAAAAACAAATCACTGGGCAGGTTCGGTGATGGCTGTATGCTAGAAACTGGTTAACATTTTCTTTTGGCTTAAAATGTGTAATATATACCGGTGGATTTATGGGTAGAAAAAATAAACTTTTCAAAGGCAAATAAAGGCAGGATTTTCTACCTCATTGCTGGGACAGTTTCCAAATCTCTTCTTGTTTAGAAAATTTTTAAAAAAGAAAAATTTATATAAAGACACCGGAACAGAACATAAAGCATGTTGAGTACAGAAAGCAGAGAAGCAGAAGTGAGTAGCATATATTACTATGGGTTAAAGATGGCCATAGATCTTTGTCTCTCAAGAAGTGGAATTTTTCTCTCCTCTTCTTGAATCTGGACTGGTTCTGTGACTAGATCAGTGAAATGTGGAAATGATGCCTGGGATCCCCAAGTCAAGGCCTCAGAGGACTAGAAGATTCGACCTTCTCCCTCTGGGAAGCCAGTCACCATGTTGCAGAGATGCTCAGGCTAGCCCCCTAAGAGAAAGGCACATGGAAAGAGAGTAGTGCCATGTGGCAAAGCACTGAGGGGCCAGACACGTGGGTGAATCCTTCTGCACCTTTCAACTTAGCCCAGCTGCCTGCTGCATGCAGACAAACCATGACCTGTGCTACCAAGAGCTGAAGAATCACCCAGCTGAGCCCTCTTCAGAGTCCTGACCCATCACCAGGCTCAGATCACTTAACCTTGTTTTGCTCGCCTGCCTTGACCCACCATGCATTACTACTACCAGCTCTTAATCCAGAGGAGGGGAATCCTCCCTAGAGGAGGACTCAAATAGGAGTGCTCAAACAAGAGCCTCAAAAGCAATGGGAAAACGTTTTGCCAAGTTGCTCTGAAAAAGAACTGACCAAAGAGAGTTGCAGATGGGAAAACATTTGGAATTGACTTGAATGAAAGAAAAAAGTTTATAATACAGTGACATAGATAAATGAGTGAATGAATGAATGAATGAATGAATAAATGAGAGTGGCATTCTGAAGCATGGAAAAAAATGCTACCAATGAAAACATAATTATGTATACAATTCCCTCTGCCCAACACCTGTGGTATCTGTCTGGGGGGATACAGGCTAACTTTGAACAGGAGAACCCGAGGCAGCTCTACAGGTACCTATACCCAATGTTCTAAATGGCATATTTACAGTACCGCTTAACAGTCTGACATTTGCTCTGTTCTAGTTCTCCAAGCAGATGACGCCACTGGATTTTGCTCTAGGAAGGAAACAGCCATCCTTGCTGCTCTTGCTCCCTTAACAAGGCTAAGTGGGTGCTGCAGCACGTGTTAAATCCATGGGTCAGTATTTCCCCCCTTCCTCCCACCAAATGGAGTCAAGCAGGAGAAATCTGCCAGCTTTTCTGTCTCTCCCGGTGGACAGTCTTTTTAACAGAGATTTCACAATAGGTTTGCAGTCCGCAGTGACAGGCTGCCTTTAAAATTAGTCTGGTTACCGAGTTTCCTTTAGAGTAAAAGTCCTTCTTGCGCCAGAGGAAGATAAGAAGGGAAAGAGAAACACATTTTCAGTGAGAGGAAGGTGAGGAGTTGGTTCTAGCAGTTCGAAATGCATGAGAGGGACATTTCCAGTCAGACCCCGAGGCCGGCTTTATATCAAATAAAAACCAGTCTGTTTTCCTAAGGTACCCCGACTGGGTTTTTACCCCTCTGCATTTGCGTGCCGTCCTACTCCCTAACACAGCCACTGGGGGGACATGCTTTTGGTTCCCACTTTGAGCCTTGACTGCAGGATCCAGTTGCAATATTTCTGCCCTACAAAGAAAACTCAAGAAATGGCATGTTTATTACCGAGTAAGTGCATTCTAGAAGAATGCTGGATTTGCCATTTGAGTAACGTGGCCTCGGAGGATAAGGTTTATTAGGTACATTGCTTTCATCCGTCTCTAGACAGTTCACCCTCAGAGCCAGCAGGAGGAGCCAGCGTAGAAGTCTCGCTTTCTAAGCAAGCGTTCTCCCGCAATTAGATTAACATTCCTTTCACTCTTTCAGAAGGACACTTTGGCTGGTTTATAACTTTCCATCCATTTAAAATGCCTCAAATGAGCGGGTTTTTACTGAAACAGGGGTCTTCCACTGGTAGGGGGAAAAATCCCTTTACACAGTTACTGGTAAGTATTTATTTGATAAGGACAAGCTTTCCTTTTCATCAGCCTTGTCTGTCTAGCTATCTTCACAGGAAGCCCATAAACAATAAAAAGTTAAGTAGAGTGGCGAATATAGACTTGTGGTTTTTAGAAGGGATTTAAAAGGCTGACAATAAATGTGAAGAAATATAGGGAAGTGACAGGCAATTCTGTTAGCTTAAAAAATGTCACGCAGAAGCTAAATTCTTGTAGTTAGTATGCATTTAAGATCACATATTTATTTCAGATAATAAATTCCCATAGCATTCATGGTGGGAGTCACATCACATGTTATTTTCTCAAGCCAAAAAGCACGGTAATCTGTGAGCATTTTAGTTGTTGCATAATTTTTGTTTCTCCAGTATTCATATACTGCTCTTCACTCTTTCAACCCATATTTATTGAGCATGTACTATATGCAAGGATATTTCAGCAATTTTATACAAATAAAATAAGAGACTCCTGCTGTGAACTGAATTCATGGAGGCAGTAGGAATGCATTATTTGTTGGATGATGACAAGACTGTAATCCATGTTTATTTCTGCATGAGAGAGATGCACAAGGGCAAACTCTCAATGTCATGGCCACAGATTACTATCCTGGTATGGGTGGTTCTTTTTGTGAACTGTGCATGGGAAGAAAAAGGGGAAATAAATCCAAGCAAATCCATCCCTGCTGCTGGAGAAACAACCTGATGTGTGTTGCCTGTTCATGAACTAATCATCTTTCTTATAGAAGTGCTGACATTTCTAGGCACAGACAGAGCATATACCATTGAAATACAGTGGTTGACAGATTAGATCATTGGTCCTAATTCTTCAGTCCCCTGTAATGGACTGGACAGTTAGTATTCTCCCTCTGTGGGCTGAGCATACATCCCAACCCACTAATGTTGGGTTTCATCAAGTTACCTCATTTAGCGAGTGAAATATTAGTGGACACAATGTGAGCAAAAGGCTTAACTGTGTTGCATAATTGGACTTGACACCTGTGTTCCTGACATTTGTCATGACAAGAAGATGACCGTATAGCTGCTGGTTTAAAGAGGATGAGAGATATGTGGAGCAGATCAGACCCAAGGTATGACTGGGAGCCAAGCCCAGGCACGTCACAGCTTGAAACAGAGCTGTCCAGCAGAGCCCAGCCTACATCATCTGAATGGTAGTCAACTTGCAAATCTGTGAGCATGAGAATAAATAATTTTGTTGTAAGGGACTCTATTTGGGGGTCATTTGTTACACAGTATTATCATGACAACAGCTGATTAATACAAATGGTATATTTATTTTTCTCAAATCAGGAAGGCTCAACTTTTTTTTAAGTCAATCCTCTTCTGTTTATAAAGAATTCAGTCTTTAATTTTATATTTTGCCACCTGGCTAACATTTCCATCTCACATGTTCCCAAATTCTCTAGAATATACACACATAAAAAATAATGTTAGCTTATATAAGAGAGGAATGATCTCAAAAGTAGGCACTTCCATCAATTATACTTATGTCTTATGTAATAGAGCAATGTGAGTAACAGCATAATACTGGTTAATACTGCTAATATTTATTGAATACTGGCTATGTTCTCCTCAGTGTCTAAGTACTTTGCATAGACCATAAAATTTAATTCTCACAGCAACCCAGTAAGCTTGGCATTGTTATTATTACTTTTTAAATATTTTATTTATTTGTTTGAGAGACAGAGAGAGCATGAGCAGGGGGAGGGGCAGAGGGAGAAACAGACTCCCCACTGAGCAGGCAGCCCAATGCAGGGCTCAATCCTAGACCCTGGGATCATGACCTGAGCTGAAGGTAGATGCTTAACCAACTGAGCCACCCAGGCACCCCGGTATTATTATTATCCACATTTCACAGATAAGAAAATTGAGATACAGAGATAAGTAATTTGCCTAAGATCCTTCATCTAGCAAGTGGTGGCAGCAGGGTTTTGAGAATCAGCTGACACCACAGCCTACTATTCCCTTCTTGGAAACATAACTAATATTTGTCTGGGTAAGATAAATTATGGGACAGCAAATATGTGGGAAGAATGATACTTAATATAATAATAGCTAAGGAGTTAAACTATATTATCATGCAGATTCACATAGAACACTAAGAATGTTAAGAATTGAGCTTGCCTGAGCTGGTGCAGTCACTCTAGAAAACAGTATGGAGGTTCCTCAAAAAGTTGAAAATAGAGCTACGCTGTGACCCAGCAATTGCACTACTGGGTATTTACCCTAAAGATACAAATGCAGTGATCCAAAGGGGCACATGCACCCTAATGTTTATAGCAGCAATGTCCACAA